GGGGTGATGGAAAGAGGGAGAATGGGGCGGGCTGATGGAAAGAGAGGGAGAATGGGGCGGGGTGATGGAAAGCGGGAGAATGGGGCGGGGTGATCTAAATCGGGAGAATGGGGCGGGGTGATGAAAAGAGGGAGAATGGGGTGGGGTGATGGAAAGCCAAAAGAATGGGGCGAGGTGATGGAAAGCGGGAGAATCTGACGGGGTGATGGAAAGCAGGAGAATTGGGTGGGGTGATCGAAAGCGGGAGAATGTGGCAAGGTGATGGAAATGGGGGAGAATGGGGCGGGGTGATGGAAAGCGGGAGAATGGGGCGGGGTGATGGAAAGCGGGAGAACGGGGCGGGGTGATGGAAAGAGGGAGAATGGGGCGGGGTGATGGAAAGAGGGAGAATGGGGCGGGGGTGATGGAAAGCGGGAGAATGGGGCGGGGTGATGGAAAGAGGGAGAATGGGGCGGGGTAATGGGAAGAGGGAGAATTGGGCGGGGTGATGGAAAGCGGGAGAATGGAGCGGGGTGATGGAAAGTGGGAGAATTGGGCGGGGTGATGGAAAGCGGGAGAATGGGGCGGGGTGATGGTAAGAGAAGAATTGGGTGGGGTGATGGATAGAGGGAGAATGGGGCGGGGTGATGGAAAGCGGGAGAATTGGGTGGGGTGATGGATAGAGGGAGAATGGGGCAGGGTGATGGAAAGAGGGAGAATGGGGCCGGGTGATGGAAAGCGGGAGAATGGAGCGGGGTGATGGAAAGCGGGAGAATGGGGCGGGGTGATGGAAAGAGGGAGAATGGGGCGGGCTGATGGAAAGAGGGGAGAATGGGGCGGGTTGATGGAAAGCGGGAGAATGGGGCGGGGTGATGGAAATCGGGAGAATGGGGCGGGGTGATGGAAAGCGGGAGAATGGGGCGGGGTGATGGAAAGAGGGAGAATGGGGCGGGGTGATGGAAAGCGGGAGAATGGGGCGGGGTGATGGAAAGAGGGAGAATGGGGCGGGGTGATGGAAAGCGGGAGAATGGGGCGGGGTGATGGAAAGAGGGAGAATGGGGAGGGGTAATGGGAAGAGGGAGAATTGGGCAGGGTGATGGAAAGCGGGAGAATGGAGCGGGGTGATGGAAAGTGGGAGAAGTGGGCGGGGTGATGGAAAGCGGGAGAATGGGGCGGGGTGATGGAAAGAGGGAGAATGGGGCGGGCTGATGCAAAGAGGGAGAATGGGGCGGGGTGATGGAAAGTGGGACAATGGGGAGGAGTGATGGAAATCGGGAGAATGGGGCGGGGTGATGGAAAGTGGGAGAATGGGGCGGGGTGATGGAAAGGGGGAGAATGGGGCGGGGTGATGGAAAGGGGGAGAATGGGGCGGGGTGATGGAAAGCGGGAGAATGGGGCGGGGTGATTGAAAGTGGGAGACTGGGGCGGGGTGATGGAAAGAGGGAGAATGGGGCGGGGTGATGGAAAGAGGGAGAATGGGGCGGGGTGATGGAAAGCGGGAGAACGGGGCGGGGTGATGGAAAGGGGGAGAATGGGGCGGGGTGATGGAAAGCGGGAGAATGGGGCGGGGTGATTGAAAGTGGGAGACTGGGGCGGGGTGATGGAAAGAGGGAGAATGGGGCGGGGTGATGGAAAGAGGGAGAATGGGGCGGGCTGATGGAAAGAGGGAGAATGGGGCGGGGTGATGGAAAGCGGGAGAATGGGGCGGGGTGATGTAAATCGGGAGAATGGGGCGGGGTGATGGAAAGAGGGAGAATGGGGTGGGGTGATGGAAAGCGAAAGAATGGGGCGAGGTGATGGAAAGCGGGAGAATCTGACGGGGTGATGGAAAGCAGGAGAATTGGGCGGGGTGATCGAAAGCGGGAGAATGTGGCAAGGTGATGGAAATGGGGAGAATGGGGCGGGGTGATGGAAAGCGGGAGAATGGGGCGGGGTGATGGAAAGCGGGAGAACGGGGCGGGGTGATGGAAAGAGGGAGAATGGGGCGGGGTGATGGAAAGAGGGAGAATGGGGTGGGGTGATGGAAAGCGGGAGAATGGGGCGGGGTGATGGAAAGAGGGAGAATGGGGCGGGGTAATGGGAAGAGGGAGAATTGGGCAAGGTGATGGAAAGCGGGAGAATGGAGCGGGGTGATGGAAACAGGGAGAATGGGGCGGGGTGATGGAAAGCGGGAGAATGGGGCGGGCTGATGGAAAGAGGGGGAATGGGGCGGGGTGATAGAAAGCGGGAGAATGGGGCGAGGTGATGGAAAGAGGGAGAATGGGGAGGGGTGATGAAAAGAGGGAGAATTGGGCGGGGTGATGAAAAGCGGGAGAATGGAGCGGGGTGATGGAAAGCGGGAGAATGGGGCAGGGTCATGGAAAGCGGGAGAATGGGGCGGGGGAATGGAAAGAGGGAGAATGGGGCGGGGTGATGGAAAGCGGGAGAATGGGACGGGGTGATGGAAAGCGGGAGAATTGGGCGGGGTGATGGATAGAGGGAGAATGGGGCAGGGTGATGGAAAGAGGGAGAATGGGGCGGGGTGATGGCAAGCGGGAGAATGCGGTGGGTGATGGAAAGCGGGAGAATGGGGCGGGGTGATGGAAGGAGGGAGAATGGGGCGGGGTGATGGAAAGCGGGAGAATGGGACGGGGTGATGGAAAGCGGGAGAATGGGGCGGGGTGATGGAAAGCGAGAGAATGGGGCGGGGTGATGGAAGGAGGGAGAATGGGGAGGGGTGATGGAAAGCGGGAGAATGGGGCGGGGTGATGGAAAGCGGGAGAATGGGGCGGGGTGATGGAAAGCGGGAAAATGGGGCGGGGTGATGGAAAGCGGGAGAATGGGGCTGGGTGATGGAAAGCGGGAGAATGGGGCGGGGTGATGGAAAGCGGGAGAATGGGGCGGGGTGTTGGAAAGCGGGAGAATGGGGCGGGTGATGGAAAGCGGGTGAATGGGGCGGGGTGATGGAAAGCGGGAGAATGGGGCGGGGTGATGGAAAGCGGGAGAATGGGGCGGGTGATGGAAAGCGGGTGAATGGGGCGGGGTGATGGAAAGCGGGAGAATGGGGCGGGGTGATGGAAAGCGGGAGAATGGGGCGGGGTGATGGAAAGCGGGAGAATGGGGCGGGGTGATGGAAAGCGGGAGAATGGGGCGGGGTGATGGAAAGCGGGAGAATGGGGCGGGGTGATGGAAAGCGGGAGAATGGGGCGGGGTGATGGAAAGCGGGAGAATAGGGCGGGGTCATGGAAAGCGGGAGAATGGGGCGGGGTGATGGAAGGAGGGAGAATGGGGTGGGGTGATGGAAAGCGGGAGATTGGGGCAGGGTGATGGAAAGCGGGAGAATGGGGCGGGGTGATGGAAAGCGGGAAAATGGGGCGGGGTGATGGAAAGCGGGAGAATGGGGCTGGGTGATGGAAAGCGGGAGAATGGGGCGGGGTGATGGAAAGCGGGAGAATGGGGCGGGGTGATGGAAGGAGGGAGAATGAGGCGGGGTGATGGAAGGAGGGAGAATGGGGCGGGGTGATGGAAAGCGGTAGAATGGGTCGGGGTGATGGAAAGCGGGAGAATGGGGCGGAGTGATGGAAAGCGGGAGAATGGGGCGGGGTGATGGAAAGCGGGAGAATGGGGCGGGGTGATGGAAAGCGGGAGAATGGGGCGGGGTGTTGGAAAGCAGGAGATTGGGGCGGGTGATGGAAAGCGGGTGAATGGGGCGGGGTGATGGAAAGCGGGGGAATGGGGCGGGGTGATGGAAAGCGGGAGAATGGGGCGGGTGATGGAAAGCGGGTGAATGGGGCGGGGCGATGGAAAGCGGGAGAATGGGGCGGGGTGATGGAAAGCGAAAGAATGGGGCGGGAAAGCGGGAGAATGGGGCGGATGATGGAAAGCGGGAGAATGGGGAGGGGTGATGGAAAGCGGGGGAATGGGGCGGGATGATGGGAAGCGGAAGAATGGGGTGGGGTGATGGAAAGCGGGAGAATGGGGCGGGGTGATGGAAAGCGTTAGAATTGGGCGGGGAGACGGAAAGCGGGAGAATGGGGCGGGGTGATGGAAAGCGGGAGAATGGGGCGGGGTGATGGAAGGAGGGAGAATGGGGCGGGGTGATGGAAGGAGGGAGAATGGGGCGGGGTGATGGAAAGCGGGAGAATGGGGCGGGGTGATGGAAGGAGGGAGAATGGGGCGGGGTGATGGAAAGCGGGAGAATGGGGCGGGGTGATGGAAAGCGGGAGAATAGGGCGGGGTGATGGAAAGCGAGAGAATGGGGCGGGGTGATGGAAGGAGGGAGAATGGGGAGGGGTGATGGAAAGCGGGAGAATGGGGCGGGGTGATGGAAAGCGGGAGAATGGGGCGGGGTGATGGAAAGCGGGAAAATGGGGCGGGGTGATGGAAAGCGGGAGAATGGGGCTGGGTGATGGAAAGCGGGAGAATGGGGCGGGGTGATGGAAAGCGGGAGAATGGGGCGGGGTGATGGAAGGAGGGAGAATGAGGCGGGGTGATGGAAGGAGGGAGAATGGGGCGGGGTGATGGAAAGCGGTAGAATGGGTCGGGGTGATGGAAAGCGGGAGAATGGGGCTGAGTGATGGAAAGCGGGAGAATGGGGCGGGGTGATGGAAAGCGGGTGAATGGGGCGGGGTGATGGAAAGCGGGAGAATGGGGCGGGGTGTTGGAAAGCGGGAGAATGGGGCGGGTGATGGAAAGCGGGTGAATGGGGCGGGGTGATGGAAAGCGGGAGAATGGGGCGGGGTGATGGAAAGCGGGAGAATGGGGCGGGTGATGGAAAGCGGGTGAATGGGGCGAGGTGATGGAAAGCGGGAGAATGGGGCGGGGTGATGGAAAGCGGAAGAATGGGGCGGGAAAGCGGGAGAATGGGGCGGATGATGGAAAGCGGGAGAATGGGGAGGGGTGATGGAAAGCGGGGGAATGGGGCGGGATGATGGGAAGCGGAAGAATGGGGCGGGGTGATGGAAAGCGGGAGAATGGGGCGGGGTGATGGAAAGCGGGAGAATTGGGCGGGGAGATGGAAAGCGGGAGAACGGGGCGGGGTGATGGAAAGCGGGAGAATGGGGCGGGGTGATGGAAGGAGGGAGAATGGGGCGAGTGATGGAAGGAGGGAGAATGGGGCGGGGTGATGGAAAGCGGGAGAATGGGGCGGGGTGATGGAAGGAGGGAGAATGGGGCGGGGTGATGGAAAGCGGGAGAATGGGGCGGGGTGATGGAAAGCGGGAGAATGGGGCGGGGTGATGGAAAGCGAGAGAATGGGGCGGGGTGATGGAAGGAGGGAGAATGGGGAGGGGTAATGGAAAGCGGGGGAATGGGGCGGGATGATGGGAAGCGGAAGAATGGGGCGGGGTGATGGAAAGCAAGAGAATGGGGCGGGGTGATGGAAAGCGGGAGAAAGGGGCGGGGTGATGGAAAGCGGGAGAATGGGGCGGGCTGATGGAAAGCGGGAGAATGGGGCGGGGTGATGGAAGGAGGGAGAATGGGGCGGGGTGATGGAAGGAGAGAGAAGGGGGCGGGGTGATGGAAAGTGGGAGAATGTGGCGGGGTGATGAAAAGCGGGAGAATGGGGTGGGGTTATGGGAAGCGGGAGAATGGGGCGGGGTGATGGAAAGCGGGAGAATGGGGTGGGGTGATGGAAGGAGGGAGAATGGGGCGGGCTGATGGAAGGAGGGAGAATGGGGCGGAATGATGGAAAGCGGGAGAATGGGGCGGGGTGATGGAAGGAGGGAGAATGGGGCGGGATGATGGAAAGCGGGAGAATGGGGCGGGGTGATGGAAAGCGGGAGAATGGGGCGGGGTGATGGAAAGCGGGAGAATGGGGCGGGGTGATGGAAATCGGGAGAATGGGGGGGGGTGATGGAAAGCGGGAGAATGGGGCGGGGTGATGGAAGGAGGGAGAATGGGGCGGGGTGATAGAAAGCGGGAGAATGTGGCGGGGTGATGGAAAGTGGGAGAATGGGGTAGGGTTATGGGAAGCGGGAGAATGGGGCGGGGTGATAGAAAGCGGGAGAATGGGGCGGGGTGATGGAAGGAGGGAGAATGGGGTGGGGTGATGGAAGGAGGGAGAATGGGGCGGGGTGATGGAAAGCGGGAGAATGGGGCGGGGTGATGGAAGGAGGGAGAATGAGGCGGGGTGATGGAAAGCGGGAGAATGGGGCGGGGTGATGGAAAGCGGGAGAATGGGGCGGGGTGATGGAAAGCGGGAGAATGGGGCGGGGTAATGGAAAGCGGGAGAATGGGGCGGGTGATGGAAAGCGGGAGAATGGGGCGGGGTGATGGAAGGAGGGAGAATGGGGAGGGGTGATGGAAAGCGGGAGAATGGGGCAGGGTGATGGAAAGCGGGAGAATGGGGCGAGGTGATGGAAAGCGGGAGAATGAGGCGGGGTGATGGAAGGAGGGAGAATGGGGACGGGTGATAGAAAACGGGAGAATGGGGCGGGTTGATGGGAAGCGGGAGAATGGGGAGGGGTGAGGGAAAGCGGGAGAATGGGGCGGGGTGATGGAAAGCGGGTGAATGGGGTGGGGTGATGGAAAGCGGGAGAATGGGGCGGGGTGATGGAAAGCGGGAGAATGGGGCGGGCTGATGGAAAGCGAGAAAATGGGGCGGGTGCTGGAAGGAGGGAGAATGGGGCGGGGTGATGGAAGGAGGGAGAATAGGGCGGGGTGATGAAAGGAGGGAGAATGGGGCGGGGTGATAGAAAGTGGGAGAATGTGGCGGGGTGATGAAAAGCGGGAGAATGGGGCGGGGTGATGGAAAGCGGGAGAATCGGGCAGGGTGATGGAAGGAGGGAGAATGGGGCGGGGTGATGGAAAGCGGGAGAATGAGGCGGGGTGATGGAAAGCGGGAGAATGGGGCAGGGTGATGGAAAGTAGGAGAATGGGGCGGGGTGATGGAAAACAGGAAAATGGGGCGGGGTGATGGAAAGCGGGGGAATGGGGCGGGGTGATGGAAAGTGGGAGAATGGGGCGGGGTGATGGAAAGCGGGAGAATGGGGCGGGGTGATGGAAGGAGAGAGAATGGGGCGGGGTGATGGAAAGCGAGAGAATGGGGCGGGGTGATGGAAAGAGGGAGAATGGGGCAGGGTGATGGAAAGCAAGAGAATGGTGCAGGGTGATGGAAAGCGGGAGAATGGGGCGGGGTGATGGAAAGCGAGAGAATGGGGCGGGGTGATGGAAAGCAGGAGAATGGGGCGGGGTGATGGAAAGTGGGAGAACAGGGCGGGGTGATGGAAAGCGGGAGAATGGGGCGGGGTGATGGAAAGCTGGAGAATGGGGCAAGGTGATGGAAAGCAGGAGAATGGGGCGGGGTGATGGAAAGTGGGAGAATGGGACGGGGTGATGGAAAGCGGGAGAATGGGGCGGGGTGATGGAAAGCGGGAGAATGGGGCGGGATGATGAAAGGAGGGAGAATGGGGTGGGGTGATGGAAGGAGGGAGATTGGGGCGGGGTGATGGAAAGCGGGAGAATGGAGCGAGGTGATGGAAAGTGGGAGAATAGGGCGGGGCTATGGAGTGCGGGAGAATGGGGCGGGGTGAGGGAAAGCGGGAGAATGGGGCGGGGTGATGGAAAGCGGGAGAATGGGGCAGGGTGATGGAAGGAGGGAAAATGGGGCGCTGTGATGGAGGGAGGGAGAATGGGGTGGGGTGATGGAAACGGGGAGAATGGGGCGAGGTGATGGAAAGTGGAAGAACGGGGCGGGGTGATGGAAAGCGGGAAAATGGGGCGGGGTGATGGAAAGCTGGAGAATGGGGCGGGGTGATGGAAAGCAGGAGAATGGGGCGGGGTGATGGAAGGAGGGAGAATGGGGCGGGGTGATGGGAAGCAGGAGAATGGGGCGAGGCGATTGAAGGAGGGAGAATGGGGCGGGGTGAGGGAAGGAGGGAGAATGGGGCGGGGTGATACAAAGCGGGAGAATGGGGCGGGGTGATGGAAATCGGGAGAATGGGGCGGGGTGATGGAAAGCAGGAGAATGGGGCGGGGTGATGGAAAGCGGGAGTATGGGGCAGGGTGATGGAAAGCGGGAGAATGGGGCGGGGTGATGGAAAGGGAGAGAATGGGGCGGGGTGATGGAAAGCGGGAGAATGGGGTGGGGTGATGGAAAGCGGGCGAATGGTTTGGGGTGATGGAAGGAGGGAGAATGGGGCGGGGTGATGGAAGGTGGGAGGATGGGGTGGGGTGATGGAAAGCGGGAGAATGGGGCGGGGTGATGGAAAGCGGGAGAATGGGGCGGGGTGGTGGAAAGCGGGAGAATGGGGCGGGGTGATGGAAAGCAGGAGAATGTGGCGGGGTGATGGAAAAGGGGAAAATGGGGCGGGGTGATGGAAAGCGGGAGAATGGGGCGGGGTGATGGAAGGCAGAAGAATGGGGCGGGGTGATGGAAGGAGGGAGAATGGGGTGGGGTGATGGAAAGAGGGAGATTGGGGCGGGGTGATGGAAAGCGGGAGAATGGGGCGGGGTGATGGAAAGCGAAAGAATGGGGCGGGGTGATGGAAAGCGGGAGAATGGGGCGGGGTGATGGAAAGTGGGAGAATGGGGTGGGGTGATGAAAAGCGGGAGAATGGGGCGGAGTGATGGAAAGCGGGAGAATGGGGCGGGGTGATGGAAGGAGGGAGAATGGGGCGGGGTGATGGAAGGCGGGAGAATGGGGCGAGGTGGTGGAAAGCGGGAGAATAGGGCGGGGTGATGGAAAGCAGGAGAATGGGGCGGGGTGATGTAAGGAGGGAGAATGGGGCGGGGTGATGGAAGGAGGGAGAATGGGGCGGGGTGATGGAAGGAGGGAGAATGGGGCGGGGTGATAGAAAGCGGGAGAATGGGGCGGGGTGATGGAAAGCGGGAGAATGGGGCGGGGTGATGGAAAGCGGGAGAATGGGGCGGGGTGATGGAAAGCGGGAGAACGGGACGGGGTGATGGAAAGCGGGAGAATGGGGCAGGGTGATGGAAAGCGGGAGAGTGGGGCGGGGTGATGGAAAGCGGGAGAATGGGGCGGGGTGATAGAAAGCGGGAGAATGGGGCGGGTTGATGGAAAGCGGGAGAATGGGGCGGGGTAATGGAAAGCGGGAGAATAAGGTGGGGTGATGGAAGGAGGGAGAATGAGGCGGGGTGATGGAAAGCGGGAGAATGGGGCGGGGTGATGGAAAGCGGGAGAATGGGGCAGGATGATGGAAAGCGGGAGCATGGGGAGGGGTGATGGAAAGCGGGCGAATGGGGCGAGGTGATGGAAGGCAAGAGAATCAGGCGGGGTGATGTAAGGAGGGAGAATGGGGCGGGATGATGGAAGGAGGGAGAATGGGGCGGGGTGATGGAAGGAGGGAGAGTGGGGCGGGGTGATAGAAAGCGGGAGAATGGGGCGGGGTGATGGAAAGCGGGGGAATGGGGCGGGGTGATGGAAAGCGGGAGAATGGGGCGGGGTGATGGAAAGCGGGAGAATGGGACGGGGTGATGGAAAGCGGGAGAATGGGGCGGGGTGATGGAAAGTAGGAGAATGGGGCGGGGTGATAGAAAGCGGGAGAATGGGGCGGGGTGATGGAAGGAGGGAGAATGGGGCGGGGTGATGGAAGGAGGGAGAATGGGGCGGGGTGATAGAAAGCGGGAGAATGGGGCGGGGTGATGGAAAGCGGGAGAATGGGGCGGGGTGATGGAAAGCGGGAGAATGGGGCAGGGTAATGGAAAGCGGGAGAATAAGGCGGGTTGATGGAAGGAGGGAGAATGGGGCGAGGTGTTGGAAAGCGGGAGAATGGGGCGGGGTGATGGAAAGCGGGAGAATGGGGCAGGATGATGGAAAGCGGGAGAATGGGGCAGGATGATGGAAAGCGGGAGAATGGGGAGGGGTGATGGAAAGCGGGCAAATGGGGCGGGGTGATGGAAGGCAAGAGAATCGGGCGGGGTGATGGAAGGAGGGAGAATGGGACGGGGTGATGGAAAGGGAGAGAATGGGGCGGGCTGATGGAAAGGGGGAGAATGGGGTGGGGTGATGGAAAGCGGGAGAATGGTTTGGGGTGATGGAAGGAGGGAGAATGGGGCGGGGTGATGGAAGGTGGGAGGATGGGGTGGGGTGATGGAAAGCGGGAGAATGGGGCGGGGTGATGGAAAGCGGGAGAATGGGGCGGGGTGGTGGAAAGCGGGAGAATGGGGCGGGGTGATGGAAAGCAGGAGAATGTGGCGGGGTGATGGAAAACGGGAAAATGGGGCGGGGTGATGGAAAGCGGGAGAATGGGGCGGGGTGATGAAAGGCAGGAGAATGGGGCGGGGTGATGGAAGGAGGGAGAATGGGGTGGGGTGATGGAAAGAGGGAGATTGGGGCGGGGTGATGGAAAGCGGGAGAATGGGGCGGGGTGATGGAAAGGGAGAGAATGGGCGGGGTGATGGAAAGCGGGAGAATGGGGTGGGGTGATGGAAAGTGGGAGGATGGGGTGGGGTGATGGAAAGCGGGAGAATGGGGCGGGGTGATGGAAAGCGGGAGATTGGGGCGGGGTGGTGGAAAGCGGGAGAATGGGGCGGGGCGATGGAAAGCAGGAGAATGGGGCGGGGTGATGTAAGGAGGGAGAATGGGGCGGGGTAATGGAAGGAGGGAGAATGGGGCGGGGTGATGGAAGGAGGGAGAATGGGGCGGGGTGATAGAAAGCGGGAGAATGGGGCGGGGTGATGGAAAGCGGGAGAATGGGGCGGGGTGATGGAAAGCGGGAGAATGGGGCGGGGTGATGGAAAGCGGGAGAATGGGACGGGGTGATGGAAAGCGGGAGAATGGGGCAGGGTGATGGAAAGCGGGAGAGTGGGGCGGGGTGATGGAAAGCGGGAGAATGGGGCGGGGTGATGGAAAGCGGGAGAATGGGGCGGGTTGATGGAAAGCGGGAGAATGGGGCGGGGTAATGGAAAGTGGGAGAATAAGGTGGGGTGATGGAAGGAGGGAGAATGAGGCGGGGTGATGGAAAGCGGTTGGGTGGGGTGATGGAAAGCGGGAGAATGGGGCAGGATGATGGAAAGCGGGAGAATGGGGAGGGGTGATGGAAAGCGGGCGAATGGGGCGGGGTGATGGAAGGCAAGAGAATCAGGCGTGGTGATGTAAGGAGGGAGAATGGGGCGGGGTGATGGAAGGAGGGAGAATGGGGCGGGGTGATGGAAGGAGGGAGAGTGGGGCGGGGTGATAGAAAGCGGGAGAATGGGGCGGGGTGATGGAAAGCGGGGGAATGGGGCGGGGTGATGGAAAGCGGGAGACTGGGGCGGGGTGATGGAAAGCGGGAGAATGGGGCAGGGTAATGGAAAGCGGGAGAATGGGGCAGGATGATGGAAAGCGGGAGAATGGGGCAGGGTGATGGAAAGCGGGAGAATGGGGCAGGATGATGGAAAGCGGGAGAATGGGGAGGGGTGATGGAAAGCGGGCGAATGGGGCGGGGTGATGGAAGGCAAGAGAATCGGGCGGGGTGATGGAAGGAGGGAGAATGGGACGGGGTGATGGAAAGGGAGAGAATGGGGCGGGGTGATGGAAAGCGGGAGAAGGGGGTGGGGTGATGGAAAGCGGGAGAATGGTTCGGGGTGATGGAAGGAGGGAGAATGGGGCGGGGTGATGGAAGGTGGGAGGATGGGGTGGGGTGATGGAAAGCGGGAGAATGGGGCGGGGTGATGGAAAGCGGGAGAATGGGGCGGGGTGGTGGAAAGCGGGAGAATGGGGCGGGGTGATGGAAAGCAGGAGAATGTGGCGGGGTGATGGAAAACGGGAAAATGGGGCGGGGTGATGGAAAGCGGGAGAATGGGGCGGGGTGATGGAAGGCAGGAGAATGGGGCGGGGTGATTGAAGGAGGGAGAATGGGGAGGGGTGATGGAAAGAGGGAGATTGGGGCGGGGTGATGGAAAGCGGGAGAATGGGGCGGGGTGATGGAAAGGGAGAGAATGGGGCGGGGTGATGGAAAGCGGGAGAATGGGGTGGGGTGATGGAAAGCGGGAGAATGGTTTGGGGTGATGGAAGGAGGGAGAATGGGGCGGGGTGATGGAAGGTGGGAGGATGGGGTGGGGTGATGGAAAGAGGGAGAATGGGGCGGGGTGATGGAAAGCGGAAGAATGGGTTTAGGGTTTTAACACCCCATCAAAATTGCAAAGAACAAGGACAACGAAATGTGGACATGGACACGTCCACACGCTACCATGTGCAAAATTGCAAAGAACAAGGACAAGGGCCTAGCGTCTTGCTATTTTGCACTCGCTAGGCCCTTATTCTTGCTATTTTGTGTCCACGCTAGGCCCTTGTTCTTGATATTTTGCAAACGCTATGCTCTTGTTCTTTTTATTTTGCACACACTAGGCCCTTGTTCTTGCAATTTTGCACATGCTAGACCCTTGTTCTTTTTATGTTGCACACGCTAGGCCCTTGTTCTTGCGATTTCGCGAACGCTAGGCCCTTGTTCTTGATTTTTTGCACACGCTAGCCCTTGCTCTTGCTACTTTGCGCTCGCTAGGCCCTTGTTCTTGCAATTTTGCACATGCTAGGCCCTTGCTTTTGCAATTTTGCACACACTAGGCCCTTATTCTTTTTATTTTGCACACGCTAGGCCCTTGTTCTTGCTATTTTGCACATGCTATGCCCTTGTTCTTTTTATTTTGCACACGCTAGGCCCTTGTTCTTGCAATTTTGCACATGCTAGGCCCTTGTTCTTTTTATTTTGCACACGCTAGGCCCTTGTTCTTGATATTTTGCAAACGCTATGCCCTTGTTCTTTTTATTTTGCACACACTTGGCCCTTGTTCTTGCAATTTTGCACATGCTAGACCCTTGTTCTTTTTATTTTGCACACGCTAGCCCCTTGTTCTTGCGATTTCGCGAACGCTAGGCCCTTGTTCTTGATTTTTTGCGCACGCTAGCCCTTGCTCTTGCTACTTTGCGCTCGCTAGGCCCTTGTTCTTGCAATTTTGCACATGCTAGGCCATTGCTTTTGCAATTTTGCACACACTAGGCCCTTGTTCTTTTCATTTTGCACACGCTAGGCCCTTGTTCTTGCTATTTTGCACATGCTATGCCCTTGTTCTTTTTATTTTGCACACGCTAGGCCCTTGTTCTTGCAATTTTGCACATGCTAGACCCTTGTTCTTTTTATTTTGCACACGCTAGAACGTTGTTTGTTTTATTTTGCACACGCTATGCCCTTGTTCTTTTTATTTTGCACACGCCATGCCCTTGTTCTTTTTATTTTGCACACGCTAGGCCGTTGTTCTTGCAATTTTGCACATGCTAGACCCATGTTCTTTTTATTTTGCACACGCTAGGCCCTTGTTCTTGCTATTTTGCGAACGCTAGGCCCTTGTTCTTCATTTTTTGCACACGCTAGGCCCTTGCTCTTGCTATTTTGCACTCGCTAGGCCCTTGTTCTTGCAATTTTGCACACGCTAGGCCCTTGTTCTTGCAATTTTGCACACGCTAGGCCCTTGTTCTTTTTTTTTTTGCACACACTAGGCCCTTGTTCTTTTTATTTTGCACACGCTAGGCCCTTGTTCTTGCTATTTTGCGCACGCTATGCCCTTGTTCTTTTTATTTTGCACACATTAGGCCCTTGTTCTTGCAATTTTGCACATGCTAGACCCTTGTTCTTTTTATTTTGCACACGCTAGGCCCTTGTTCTTGGAATTTCGCGAACGCTAGGCCCTTGTTCTTGATTTTTGGCACACGCTAGCCCTTGCTCTTGCTACTTTGCGCTCGCTAGGCCCTTGTTCTTGCAATTTTGCACATGCTAGGCCCTTGTTTTTGCAATTTTGCACATACTAGGCCCTTGTTCTTTTTATTTTGCACACGCTATGCCCTTGTTCTTGCTATTTTGCACATGCTATGCCCTTGTTCTTTTTATTTTGCACACGCTAGGCCCTTGTTCTTGCAATTTTGCACATGCTAGACCCTTGTTCTTTTTATTTTGCACACACTAGGTCGTTGTTTGTTTTATTTTGCACTCGCTATGCCCTTGTTCTTTTTATTTTGCACACGCCATGCCCTTGTTCTTTTTATTTTGCACACGCTAGGCCGTTGTTCTTGCAATTTTGCACATGCTATGTGAAAGGAATGAACAGGAATGGATTGACTAAGTCAGAGTTGGGTACAAATACAACCCTAGCAAACTGTACCCCATATGTGCTACCCCACTATAGCCTACAAACATGTTTCAGCTATAATAATCTGACACACCCCCATAGGCAAAGTGGGGGAGAACAAGGGGTCACAAGACCAGTCAAGCAAAGCAAAGCAAGCTCAGGGTGGATCACAAAGTCACCACACAGTCCGAGCACAAGAGCAAGGCCAGAGGCCAGTTCACATGCAGGAGTACAGACATATATATAAAACTAGACAAGCAAGAGCAGGTATATATATGTCAAAGTACAAGTAAAGTCAAGAAGAGAGCAAGTGAGGCAAGACAGGTACAAGACCCAGCTGGGTACAAAAGCGCTGATGGTCGCAAGGCGCAAGTGCCTTGGTGAACACATCAGCAGTGTTGGCCTCAGAGGCCACGTACGCAAGTCGCAACTGACCACGCTGCTGCAGCTCACGAGCAAGGAAGTAGCGGAGAGCAATGTGCTTCGTTCTGTGCTCCAAGCGCTGCTCTCGACACAAGGCCAACATGGCCTTGTTGTCTACGTACAGCACTGGAGGAGAACGAGGCAGCTCTCCAAGGTCAGTCAGCAGGTAGGTGAGCCAGCGAAGCTCCTGTGCAGCCATGGCCCCGGCGTAGATCTCAGCCTCACAACTGGAGCCGAGAACCGAAGACGAGCGAGTAGACCGCCACGAGACAGAGCCGGAACCAAGGCTGAAGGTGTAACCCTGTGACGACCGCTGCGTAGCCTGGTCGTCAGCCCAAGAAGCGTCTGCGTGCCCAGTAAGGACCACTGGACTCCGCCCTCCAAGCACTAGCCCCATGCCCGACGTACTGCACAGGTAGCGCAATACCCTCTTCGCTGCAGCCATGTGCTCTGGTCGGTGTCTCCCAGGAGCAACATAGCGTGCAAGGATGCTCAGAGGGTATGCAAGGTCAGGTCGTGTGCAGGTCATCAGGTACATGAGGCAGCCAACAAGCTCTGCATACGGACCACTCGACTCTACGGACTCATCCGAAGGCAGAGCTGAGAGTGAGTGGCGAGTAGGCAGAGGAGTGGCCTGAGGCGAGGAGTACGTGAAGCCGAAGCGCTGAAGGACCTGCTGCACCATGTGTGACTGAGTCAGGGTAATGGTGCGGCGTGCTCTGTCCCGAGTGATCTGCAAGCCAAGGTAGCTGCGCAGTTCACCCAGGTCTGTGCACGTGTGTCTCTTCAGCAGCTCGGACTTCACGTAGGCGAGTCCAGCAGTGTCCGCTGTGGCAAAGACCAAGTCGTCGACGTACACGAGGATGTAGAACGGCGGCAGGGAAGTGTCGGTGCGAAGAAACAGCGACGGGTCAGCAGTAGAAGGAGCAAACCCAAGAGCCGCAAGCGTAGTCCTCAGTGTGTCGTGCCACTCACGCGGTGCCTGGCGGAGACCGTAGACTGGCCGTCGGAGGCTCCACTGGGTGCCAGGAGGGAAAGTCCCAGTGAAGCCAGGCGGACGGCGCAGCCAGATCTCCTCGTGCAGGCTACCCTGCAGGAACGCAGTGCTGAAGTCGAGAGAGTGAAGCTCGTAGTCGCGCTGAGCGGCAATGTGCAGCAGCACCCGAAGAGTGGTCATCTTCGGGGTGGGAGAGAAGGTCTGAAAGTAGTCAACTCCCTGCCGCTGACTGAAGCCACGAGCCACGTAACGCGCCTTGAAGACAGGCGGCGAGCCCGGCGGCCGCTTCACCCTGAAGATCCACATGCCACTGACGATGTTCGCCCCAGGAGGGGGAACCGCGTCAACGTAGGTGCCTGTGGACTTCCAGGAAGCCATCTCTGCATCCATAGCTGCCTGCCACTGAGAGGAGTAGGGACCCTCTACGGCCTCCGCGTAAGAACGCGGAGTCGGGATGTCTAGTGCATCCGGGTCTCCCTCAGGGGCTAGCAGTACAGACGCGAGACGAGGTGAAGCAGCGGCTAGACACTGGAACTCCTCCTGCCTGTCCTCTAGGACGTCCGTGCCAAGGGCACACTCACCCCCGACGGACGGAGGACAGGCGGACTCAGACTCAGTGACAAGACGAGCAGCGTAGTCTAGACGACAGCGCGCAGCAAAGTCGACAAGCTCAGTGACAAGGGCAGACGCAGCAGACGACTCGAAGGAAGGGTCAGTGACAGCAGTAGCAAGGAGACGCGTGACAGTAGGACTGGCAGCACGAAGAGAGTCCGACTCCGGGTCGGCAAGAGCAGGAAGAGAGGAAGCAGGAGGAGAAGGCAAAGGGGCACGCAGAGGAGCAGTGGACGGACGCAGTGACATCCGGTGCGTGCCAGGGACAGGAGGAGGACGCTGACGCGACCCGCGACCACTAGCGCGCTCAGTACGAACAGGCGACGCAGGACGAGACGCAGGCTCACGACGCTCAGTAAGACCTCCAGTCGGACCAGCGTAGGGAGAAGGAGCAGGCAAAGGGGAGGCAGGCTGTAGCTGTGGCTGTGACCGGACAGGCTGCGGACCCTCTAAGGGAGGAGGAGGAGGTGTAAGACCAAGAACCTGCTGCAGGAGCGGAACGAAGTACAGTCGGGGCCGCGCGGCGACGCCAGAAACAGCAGGAACAGCACCAGCACCCCCGGCAGGAGCACCCACTCCAGCAGCACCTCCAGCAGAACCACCAGAAGCTCCAGAACCTCCAGCAGCAGCACCAGGAGCACCGTCAGTCGGACCACCAACCGCAGGCTCAGCGCCAACGTCCTCAGCAGGACCAGCTCCAGGAGAACCCTCAGACCCAGTAGCTCCAGCACCCACAGGACGAGCACCGCCAGGTCGCGTGGCAGCAGCGCCCTCCGCACCAGCACCAGCGGCACGCCTCCAGCGCCGGGCAAACCACTCACGCAGCTCCTGTGGAGAGAGCGGCTCCCGGCGAGACGAAGCACCCCCAGGCACAGCACCTCCAGGCTCGGCACCTCCAGGCTCAGCACCCCCAGGCTCAGTACCCCCAGACACAGCACCCCAAGGCACAGCACCCCCAGGCTCAGCACCCCCAGGCACAGCACCCCCAGGCTCAGCACCCCCAGGCCCAGCACCCCCAGACTCCGCACCCCCAGGCTCAGCACCCCCAGGCTCAGCACCCCTAGACTTCGCACCCCCAGGCTCAGCTCCCGCAGCAGCACCGGAGTCACCAGTGACCTCGACAGGCTCGACCGCGTCTACCTGAGACACACCTGAAGGGGCAGGACCCTGAGGGGGGAGGGGGACTACTGGGGGGGGACCTGGTACCAAGAAGAGCGGGGGTGGGGGGAGGGACGGAGTGCGGTAGGGGAAGAGGCGGTAGTAGGGTACCGACTCGTCGAACGTGACGTCCTGGGAGGACAGAACACGTCGAGAGGTGGGGTGGTAAAACTGCCACCCAGGGGCGTCGGGGGGGAACCCGAGGAAGACGCAGGGAGAAGCACGAGGGGACAGCTTGTCCGCAGACAGGTCGCGAACAAACGCCCGAGATCCCCAGACCCGGAACGCCGACGCATCGCCAACCTTCCCCGTCCACAACAGAGCTGGGGAGGTCTCCGGTCGAGAGACCCTGGGGTGGAGGTTGATCTGGTGCGCAGCGTACCTGACCGCAAACGGCCACAGAAAATGGAGAGCAGCCGCATGCATCATGGACGTACGAGCGACGTCCATGACCATGCCAATGCGGCGCTCAGCGATCCCATTCTGCTGTGGTGAGTCCGGAAGCGTGAAGGTCTGACGGATGCCTCGCACACGACAGTAGGCACTCAGGAGGGCCGAGGAGAACTCTCCGCCTCTGTCCGAGTGCAGACGCAAGACAGGGAAGTCAGAGCCAAAGCTTCTCCGAAGCTGGAGACGAGCTGCGCGGATCCAGTCGATCAACACCTGAGTGACCTCACCCTTGCTGCGCAAGGGGAAGACTGTGGTGTAACGCGAGTAGTCGTCAACCACCAGCAGGAAGTAGCGCTCCTGACCCTGTCCACGGACGCGGGCTGGGCCCCACACGTCCATGTGAAGCGTCTGCAACGGGGCCTCTGTCGGAGGAAACTGGGAGGAGTGAGGGGCAGCACGCTGGCGCCCCTCGACACAGGGGACACAGGCAGGGCCAGGGCCCGGAGGAAGGGGAGGGAGGGACCGGGGAAGACCAGACACAAGGACCCGCGAGGCCATGCCTCTGAGCCGAAGCAGAGAGGGGTGGCCAAGGCGGTGGTGCCAGAGGAGGGTCTCGTGAGACAGACGACGACACGAACAAGGGGCAGACTCAGGACCAGACCTGGACGCTGCAGCAAACACCTGACCAGACGAAGGGGCCCTACCAGACGCAGTACCTGGAGGAGAAGCAGTGGTCAGTGTGTACAGGCTCGACCCCGGCCGACGTGTAAACGTAGCCAGGTGGCGACCTGTATCCGCCTCCGTACAGTGGGTCACCCGCTGACGAGCAGGGGTGAACTGGTGGACACCTGCATCCTGGAGGTCAGCACCACTCACCAAGTTCGTCGAGAACGAGGGGAGGTAGAGACCAGTCAGGGTGCCAGAGGGGGCCGCCGGACACGGGAGGACAGTGGAGAAGCGAGACAGGACAGGCCCCCCAGAGGGGTCCGCCAGGGACACCGCAACAGGCCGACTCAGCGGCGTGAGAGTGGTGCGGTCCCTAAAGAAGGAGCGAGACGCTCCAGAGTCAAGGGTGAAGGTGTGAGAGGCCGAAGCCGACACAGTACCTGAGAGGGCGGACTCACCAGTACCTGAAAGCACAGACGCACTGGCACCTAGAGCAGCAGCCTCACTAGTACCTGACGCGGCAGTACCAATGCCCGGGTCGGGCGGGAAACACCGGTAACAGTCATCCTCATCACTACCAGTCACAGCATACATAGCAGAGAGAATAGCATCAAAATCAAGATCATAAATAGCTACACCAGCCCTAGACAGCTCTCCCCAGCGGGGGATCTCAGCGGCCTCCGGAAACTGCTGACGCCAGGCGTCGGTCAGGCGGCCAAAGCAGCGACGGGCTGTGTGGGCGCCTCCACACCTCTCCCCTGCACGGTCACCAGTGCGAAGAACGTAGGGGCAGGGACCAAGCGCACCACCGCGCTGACGCTGCAAGTACCACTCACGGAGCTGCTGAGGGCCGGGGACGGTGCGAGAGCGCTACTGCTGCTGCGGCTGCTGCTGCGGCTGCTGCTGCTGCTGCTGCTGGCGCTGACCACCCCCAGAGCTGCTCCGCTGGGACGAGCCACTCCGACCCCCTCCTCCACCGCCACCCCCGCCTCCACCGCCACCCCCGTCGCCACCGCCACCTCCCCCACCAGGACCGTCGCTCCCACCGCTCCCACCGCCTCCTCCGCTACCACCTCCGCCGCCACCTCCGCCTCCACCGCCGCCACTACTACCTCCACTCCCGCCACCACCCCCCCCGCCACCCCCACTCCCCCCTCCACCCCCACCGCCTCCTCCACCGCCCCCTCTGGCTCCACCCGCTCCCTTGCCCCCCTTGCCCTTGCCAGTGCGGCGTCTGCCACTGGGGGCAGACGCCGCGCCGACCGACTCAAAACCAACGAGGTCGGCCGCAGCGGCAGAGGCGACAGAGGGCAGCAGGGGGGAGGGACCACACCCCTCAAAGATGGGGGTGCGAGGGTCACCCCGAGAGGCCCCTACAGCGACAATACTCTTCTCAGCCGCTAGCAGGGACTCCTCAAGGAGGTCGACAGTGAGAGTGGTGGGACAGACAGAGAGAAACTGGTCCCTAACGACACGAAGGGACTCAGGGAGACGGGTGACGAGAAAGTAGAGAGTGATGTACATGGGAGGAGGGTTCGCAGCGCGGAACTCAGCAGGAAGGGCAGCGCGGTAGCGGGTGTCACTAGCGCGGAGGTGGGTAACGAGGTCAGCGACAGTGGGAAAGGAAGCGAGGTCAGGGAAGAGAAACGGTAGCATGAGGCGGCTAAGGGTAGCGGAGGAAGGGGAGGAGTAGCGCGCAACTACAGCGTCGTACAAGGCCTGAGCGGTCTTGCACTGACTAAAGTGGGCACGCTCAGAGGAAGGGAGGTGGCGACGCACAGCAAGACGTGCAGCAGCATCGCGGGTCGCCCACTTGGAGCGAACGGCAGAGTCAGCATCAGCAGGCGGGGCAGGGACAGCGCCAGAGACAAAGTCAAAGAGAGAGACCTCATCTACCGCATCACACAGTAAGTACAGCTGCAGGTCCTCGATCCAGACGGCAAAGTCAATGGCCCTCCCCTCAGCGTCAAAAGTGAGAACATTGGGGGTGGCCATGGCAGCAGCTGAAAGTCTCACCGGGATGGGAGAGTCGGGTAGGTCAGCAGCAGGCGGCTCGGGCTGCTCGGGCGGCTCGGGCGGCTCGGGCGGCTCGGGCGACTCGGGCGGCTCGGGCGGCTCGGGCGGCTCAGGTACCGGGCGGCTCGGCTGCTGCTGGGCGGCTCGGCTGCTGCTGGGCGGTTCGGCTGCTGCTGGGCGGCTCGGCTGCTGCTGGGCGGCTCGGCTGCTGTTGGGCGGCTCGGCTGCTGCTGGGCGGCTCGGCTGCAGTGTAGTGGCGGGGCCGGGACAAGGGACGGCGGGGCCGTCAGGGTGCAGCGGTGGGGCCGAGACAGGGGACGGCGGGGCCGTCAGGGTGCAGTGGCGGAGCCGGGACAGGTGCAGTGGCGGGGCCGCAGGGTGCAGCGGCGGGCCGTCAGGATGTAGCGGAGGGCCGCTGGAAGCACCCGCAGCTGAGCAGGCTGCGGGGGCCGCGTCGTAGGAGGCGGCAGGGCCGCGGCTGAGCAGGCGGCAGAGGCCGCGTCGTAGAGGGCGGCGGGGCCGCGGCTGAGCAGGCGGCGGAGGCCGCGTCGTGGCGGGCGGCGGGGTCGCGGCTGAGCAGGCGGCGGAGGCCGCGGCGTCTGCAGGCGGCGGAGGCCGCGTCGTAGAGGGCGGCGGGGCCGCGGCTGAGCAGGCTGCGGGGCCGCGTCGTAGGAGGCGGCAGGGCCGCGGCTGAGCAGGCGGCGGAGGCCGCGGCGTCTGCAGGCGGCGGAGGCCGCGTCGTAGAGGGCGGCGGGGCCGCGGCTGAGCAGGCGGCGGGGCCGCGTCTTAGCAGGCGGCGGGGCCGCGTCTTAGCAGGCGGCGGGGCCGCTTCCGAGTAGGTGGCGGGGCCGCGACTGGTTGGCGGGGCCGCGTCTTAGTGGTGGGGCCGCGACTTAGTGGCGGGGCCGCGTACGAAGGGAAGGGCGACTCGGGGGGGGTCGCTAAAAAAAAAGGATCGCGCGCCTCGGGGCGCGCTTCGGTGGGCCCTAGGCGAAGTTCCCACAGGGAACCCGCTCTATACCATGTGAAAGGAATGAACAGGAATGGATTGACTAAGTCAGAGTTGGGTACAAATACAACCCTAGCAAACTGTACCCCATATGTGCTACCCCACTATAGCCTACAAACATGCATCAGCTATAATAATCTGACATGCTAGACCCATGTTCTTTTTATTTTGCACACGCTAGGCCCTTGTTCTTGCTATTTTGCGAACGCTAGGCCCTTGTTCTCCATTTTTTGCACACGCTAGGCCCTTGCTCTTGCTATTTTGCACTCGCTAGGCCCTTGTTCTTGCAATTTTGCACACGCTAGGCCCTTGTTCTTGCAATTTTGCACACGCTAGGCCCTTGTTCTTTTTTTTTTTTGCACACGCTAGGCCCTTGTTCTTTTTATTTTGCACACGCTAGGCCCTTGTTCTTACGATTTTGCACACGCTATGCCCTTGTTCTTTTTATTTTGCACACATTAGGCCCTTGTTCTTGCAATTTTGCACATGCTAGACCCTTGTTCTTTTTATTTTGCACACGCTAGGCCCTTGTTCTTGGAATTTCGCGAACGCTAGGCCCTTGTTCTTGATTTTTGGCACACGCTAGCCCTTACTCTTGCTACTTTGCGCTCGCTAGGCCCTTGTTCTTGCAATTTTGCACACACTAGGCCCTTGTTCTATTTATATTGCACACGCTAGGCCCTTGTTCTTGCTATTTTGCACATGCTATGCCCTTGTTCTTTTTATTTTGCACACGCTAGGCCCTTGTTCTTGCAATTTTGCACATGCTAGACCCTTGTTCTTTTTTTTTTGCACACGCTAGGCTCTTGTTGTTGATTTTTTGCACACGCCAGGCCCTTGCTCTTGCTATTTTGCACTCGCTAGGCCCTTGTTCTTGCAATTGTGCAGACGCTAGGCCCTTGTTCTTGCAATTTTGCACACGCTAGGCCCTTGTTCTTGCAATTTTGCACACGCTAGGCCCTTGTTCTTGTTATTTTGCATACGCTAGGCCCTTGTTCTTTTTATTTTGCACACGCTAGGCCCTTGTTCTTGCTATTTTGCACACGCCATGCCCTTGTTCTTTTTATTTTGCACACGCTAGGCCCTTGTTCTTGCAATTTTGCACATGCTAGACTCTTGTTCTTTTTATTTTGCACACGCTAGCTCCTTGTTCTTGCTATTTCGCGAACGATAGGCCCTTGTTCTTGATTTTTTGCACACGCAAGGCCCTTGTTCTTTTTATTTTGCACACGCTAGGCCCTTGTTCTTGCTATTTTGCACACGCTATGCCCTTGTTCTTTTTATTTTGCACACATTAGGCCCTTGTTCTTGCAATTTTGCACATGCTAGACCCTTGTTCTTTTTATTTTGCACACGCTAGGCCCTTGTTCTTGGAATTTCGCGAACGCTAGGCCCTTGTTCTTGATTTTTGGCACACGCTAGCCCTTGCTCTTGCTACTTTGCGCTCGCTAGGCCCTTGTTCTTGCAATTTTGCACATGCTAGGCCCTTGTTTTTGCAATCTTGCACATACTAGGCCCTTGTTCTTTTTATTTTGCACACGCTATGCCCTTGTTCTTGCTATTTTGCACATGCTATGCCCTTGTTCTTTTTATTTTGCACACGCTAGGCCCTTGTTCTTGCAATTTTGCACATGCTAGGCCCATGTTCTTTTTATTTTGCACACGCTAGGCCCTTGTTCTTTTTATTTTGCACACGCTAGGCCCTTGTTCTTGATATTTTGCAAACGCTATGCCCTTGTTCTTTTTATTTTGCACACACTAGGCCCTTGTTCTTGCAATTTTGCACATGCTAGACCCTTGTTCTTTTTATTTTGCACACGCTAGGCCCTTGTTCTTGCGATTTCGCGAACGCTAGGCCCTTGTTCTTGATTGTTTGCACACGCTAGCCCTTGCTCTTGCTACTTTGCGCTCGCTAGGCCCTTGTTCTTGCAATTTTGCACATGCTAGGCTCTTGCTTTTGCAATTTCGCACACACTAGGCCCTTGTTCTTTTTATTTTGCACACGCTAGGCCCTTGTTCTTGCTATTTTGCACATGCTATGCCCTTGTTCTTTTTATTTTGCACACGCTAGGCCCTTGTTCTTGCAATTTTGCACATGCTAGACCCTTGTTCTTTTTATTTTGCACACACTAGGTCGTTGTTTGTTTTATTTTGCACTCGCTATGCCCTTGTTCTTTTTATTTTGCACACGCCATGCCCTTGTTCTTTTTATTTTGCACACGCTAGGCCGTTGTTCTTGCAATTTTGCACATGCTAGACCCATGTTCTTTTTATTTTGCACACGCTAGGCCCTTGTTCTTGCTATTTTGCGAACGCTAGGCCCTTGTTCTTCATTTTTTGCACACGCTAGGCCCTTGCTCTTGCTATTTTGCACTCGCTAGGCCCTTGTTCTTGCAATTTTGCACACGCTAGGCCCTTGTTCTTGCAATTTTGCACACGCTAGGCCCTTGTTCTTTTTATTTTGCACACGCTAGGCCCTTGTTCTTTTTTTTTTTTGCACACGCTAGGCCCTTGTTCTTTTTATTTTGCACACGCTAGGCCCTTGTTCTTGCGATTTTGCACACGCTATGCCCTTGTTCTTTTTATTTTGCACACATTAGGCCCTTGTTCTTGCAATTTTGCACATGCTAGACCCTTGTTCTTTTTATTTTGCACACGCTAGGCCCTTGTTCTTGGAATTTCGCGAACGCTAGGCCCTTGTTCTTGATTTTTGGCACACGCTAGCCCTTACTCTTGCTACTTTGCGCTCGCTAGGCCCTTGTTCTTGCAATTTTGCACACACTAGGCCCTTGTTCTATTTATATTGCACACGCTAGGCCCTTGTTCTTGCTATTTTGCACATGCTATGCCCTTGTTCTTTTTATTTTGCACACGCTAGGCCCTTGTTCTTGCAATTTTGCACATGCTAGACCCTTGTTCTTTTTATTTTGCACACGCTAGGCCCTTGTTCTTGCAATTTTGCACGTGCTAGACCCTTTTTCTTTTTTTTTTGCACACGCTAGGCTCTTGTTGTTGATTTTTTGCACACGCCAGGCCCTTGCTCTTGCTATTTTGCACTCGCTAGGCCCTTGTTCTTGCAATTGTGCAGACGCTAGGCCCTTGTTCTTGCAATTTTGCACACGCTAGGCCCTTGTTCTTGCAATTTTGCACACGCTAGGCCCTTGTTCTTGTTATTTTGCATACGCTAGGCCCTTGTTCTTTTTATTTTGCACACGCTAGGCCCTTGTTCTTGCTATTTTGCACACGCCATGCCCTTGTTCTTTTTATTTTGCACACGCTAGGCCCTTGTTCTTGCAATTTTGCACATGCTAGACTCTTGTTCTTTTTATTTTGCACACGCTAGGCCCTTGTTCTTGCTATTTCGCGAACGATAGGCCCTTGTTCTTGATTTTTTGCACACGCAAGGCCCTTGTTCTTTTTATTTTGCACACGCTAGGCCCTTGTTCTTTTTATTTTGCACACGCTAGGCCCTTGTTCTGTCTATTTTGCACACGCTAGGCCCTTGTTCTTTTTTTTTTGCACACGCTTGGCCTTTGTTCTTGCAATTTTGCACATGCTAGACCCTTGTTCTTTTTATTTTGCACACGCTAGGCCCTTGGTCTTGCTATTTCGCAAACGCTAGGCCCTTGTTCTTGAAATTTTGCACACGCTAGGCCCTTGCTGTTGCTATTTTGCACTCGCTATGCCTTTGTTCTTGCAATTTTGCACACGCTAGGCTCTTGTTCTTGCTATTTTGCACACGCCATGCCATTGTTCTTTTTATTTTGCACATGCTAGGCCGTTGTTCTTGCAATTTTGCACATGCTAGACCCTTGTTCTTTTTATTTTGCACACGCTAGGCCCTTGTTCTTGCTATTTTGCGAACGCTACGCCCTTGTTCTTGATTTTTTGCACAAGCTAGGCCCTTGCTCTTGCTATATTGCACTCGCTAGGCCCTTGTTCTTACAATTTTGCACACGCTAGGCTCTTGTTCTTGCAATTTTGCACACGCTAGGCCCTTGTTCTTTTTATTTTGCACACGCTAGGCCCTTGTTCTTGCTATTTTGCGCACGCTATGCCCTTGTTCTTTTTATTTTGCACACACTAGGCCCTTGTTCTTGCAATTTTGCACATGCCAGACCCTGTGAAACTATGAGCAGAGGAATGGAATGACTAAGTCAGAGTTGGGTACAAATACAACCCTAGCAAACTGTACCCCATATGTGCTACCCCACTATAGCCTACAAACATGCATCAGCTATAATAATCTGACACACCCCCATAGGCAAAGTGGGGGAGAACAAGGGGTCACAAGACCAGTCAAGCAAAGCAAAACAAGCTCAGGGTGGATCACAAAGTCACCACACAGTCCGAGCACAAGAGCAAGGCCAGAGGCCAGTTCACATGCAGGAGTAAAGGCATATATATAAAACTAGACAAGCAAGAGCAGGTATATATATGTCAAAGTACAAGTAAAGTCAAGAAGAGAGCAAGTGAGGCAAGACAGGTACAAGACCCAGCTGGGTACAAAAGCGCTGATGGTCGCAAGGCGCAAGTGCCTTGGTGAACACATCAGCAGTGTTGGCCTCAGAGGCCACGTAAGCAAGTCGCAACTGACCACGCTGCTGCAGCTCACGAGCAAGGAAGTAGCGGAGAGCAATGTGCTTCGTTCTGTGCTCCAAGCGCTGCTCTCGACACAAGGCCAACATGGCCTTGTTGTCTACGTACAGCACTGGAGGAGAACGAGGCAGCTCTCCAAGGTCAGTCAGCAGGTAGGTGAGCCAGCGAAGCTCCTGTGCAGCCATGGCCCCGGCGTAGATCTCAGCCTCACAACTGGAGCCGAGAACCGAAGACGAGCGAGTAGACCGCCACGAGACAGAGCCGGAACCAAGGCTGAAGGTGTAACCCTGTGACGACCGCTGCGTAGCCTGGTCGTCAGCCGAAGAAGCGTCTGCGTGCCCAGTAAGGACCACTGGACTCCGCCCTCCAAGCACTAGCCCCATGCCCGACGTACTGCACAGGTAGCGCAATACCCTCTTCGCTGCAGCCATGTGCTCTGGTCGGTGTCTCCCAGGAGCAACATAGCGTGCAAGGATGCTCAGAGGGTATGCAAGGTCAGGTCGAGTGCAGGTCATCAGGTACATGAGGCAGCCAACAAGCTCTGCATACGGACCACTCGACTCTACGGACTCATCCGAAGGCAGAGCTGAGAGTGAGTGGCGAGTAGGCAGAGGAGTGGCCTGAGGCGAGGAGTACGTGAAGCCGAAGCGCTGAAGGACCTGCTGCACCATGTGTGACTGAGTCAGGGTGATGGTGCGGCGTGCTCTGTCCCGAGTGATCTGCAAGCCAAGGTAGCTGCGCAGTTCACCCAGGTCTGTGCACGTGTGTCTCTTCAGCAGCTCGGACTTCACGTAGGCGAGTCCAGCAGTGTCCGCTGTGGCAAAGACCAAGTCGTCGACGTACACGAGGATGTAGAACGGCGGCAGGGAAGTGTCGGTGCGAAGAAACAGCGACGGGTCAGCAGTAGAAGGAGCAAACCCAAGAGCCGCAAGCGTAGTCCTCAGTGTGTCGTGCCACTCACGCGGTGCCTGGCGGAGACCGTAGACTGGCCGTCGGAGGCTCCACTGGGTGCCAGGAGGGAAAGTCCCAGTGAAGCCAGGCGGACGGCGCAGCCAGATCTCCTCGTGCAGGCTACCCTGCAGGAACGCAGTGCTGAAGTCGAGAGAGTGAAGCTCGTAGTCGCGCTGAGCGGCAATGTGCAGCAGCACCCGAAGAGTGGTCATCTTCGGGGTGGGAGAGAAGGTCTGAAAGTAGTCAACTCCCTGCCGCTGACTGAAGCCACGAGCCACGTAACGCGCCTTGAAGACAGGCGGCGAGCCCGGCGGCCGCTTCACCCTGAAGATCCACATGCCACTGACGATGTTCGCCCCAGGAGGGGGAACCGCGTCAACGTAGGTGCCTGTGGACTTCCAGGAAGCCATCTCTGCATCCATAGCTGCCTGCCACTGAGAGGAGTAGGGACCCTCTACGGCCTCCGCGTAAGAACGCGGAGTCGGGATGTCTAGTGCATCCGGGTCTCCCTCAGGGGTTAGCAGTACAGACGCGAGACGAGGTGAAGCAGCGGCTAGACACTGGAACTCCTCCTGCCTGTCCTCTAGGACGTCCGTGCCAAGGGCACACTCACCCCCGACGGACGGAGGACAGGCGGACTCAGACTCAGCGACAAGACGAGCAGCGTAGTCTAGACGACAGCGCGCAGCAAAGTCGACAAGCTCAGTGACAAGGGCAGACGCAGCAGACGACTCGAAGGAAGGGTCAGTGACAGCAGTAGCAAGGAGACGCGTGACAGTAGGACTGGCAGCACGAAGAGAGTCCGACTCCGGGTCGGCAAGAGCAGGAAGAGAGGAAGCAGGAGGAGAAGGCAAAGGGGCACGCAGAGGAGCAGTGGACGGACGCAGTGACATCCGGTGCGTGCCAGGGACAGGAGGAGGACGCTGACGCGACCCGCGACCACTAGCGCGCTCAGTACGAACAGGCGACGCAGGACGAGACGCAGGCTCACGACGCTCAGTAAGACCTCCAGTCGGACCAGCGTAGGGAGAAGGAGCAGGCAAAGGGGAGGCAGGCTGAAGCTGTGGCTGTGACCGGACAGGCTGCGGACCCTCTAAGGAAGGAGGAGGAGGTGTAAGACCAAGAACCTGCTGCAGGAGCGGAACGAAGTACGGTCGAGGCCGCGCGGCGACGCCAGAAACAGCAGGAACAGCACCAGCACCGCCGGCAGGAGCACCCACTCCAGCAGCACCTCCAGCAGAACCACCAGAAGCTCCAGAACCTCCAGCAGCAGCACCAGGAGCACCGTCAGTCGGACCACCAACCGCAGGCTCAGCGCCAACGTCCTCAGCAGGACCAGCGCCAGGAGAACACTCAGACCCAGCAGCTCCAGCACTCACAGGACGAGCACCGCCAGGTCGCGTGGCAGCAGCGCCCTCCGCAGCCGAAGAACCACCAGCACCAGCGGCACGCCTCCAGCGCCGGGCAAACCACTCACGCAGCTCCTGTGGAGAGAGCGGCTCCCGGTGAGACGAAGCACCCCCAGGCACAGCACCTCCAGGCTCGGCACCTCCCGGCTCAGCACCCCCAGGCTCAGTACCCCCAGACACAGCACCCCCAGGCTCAGCACCCCCAGGCTCAGCACCCCCAGGCCCAGCACCCCCAGACTCCGCACCCCCAGGCTCCGCACCCCCAGGCTCAGCACCCCTAGACTCCGCACCCCCAGGCTCAGCTCCCCTAGACTCCGCACCCCCAGGCTCAGCTCCCGCAGCAGCACCGGAGTCACCAGTGACCTCGACAGGCTCGACCGCATCTACCTGAGACACACCTGAAGGGGCAGGACCCGGAGGGGGGAGGGGGACTACTGGGGGGGGACCTGGTACCAAGAAGAGGGGGGGTGGGGGGAGGGACGGAGTGCGGTAGGGGAAGAGGCGGTAGTAGGGTACCGACTCGTCGAACGTGACGTCCTGGGAGGACAGAACACGTCGAGAGGTGGGGTGGTAAAACTGCCACCCAGGGGCGTCGGGGGGGAACCCGAGGAAGACGCAGGGAGAAGCACGAGGGGACAGCTTGTCCGCAGACAGGTCGCGAACAAACGCCCGAGATCCCCAGACCCGGAACGCCGACGCATCGCCAACCTTCCCCGTCCACAACAGAGCTGGGGAGGTCTCCGGTCGAGAGACCCTGGGGTGGAGGTTGATCTGGTGCGCAGCGTACCTGACCGCAAACGGCCACAGAAAATGGGGAGCAGCCGCATGCATCATGGACGTACGAGCGACGTCCATGACCATGCCAATGCGGCGCTCAGCGATCCCATTCTGCTGTGGTGAGTCCGGAAGCGTGAAGGTCTGACGGATGCCTCGCACACGACAGTAGGTACTCAGGAGGGCCGAGGAGAACTCTCCGCCTCTGTCCGAGTGCAGACGCAAGACAGGGAAGTCAGAGCCAAAGCTTCTCCGAAGCTGAAGACGAGCTGCGCGGATCCAGTCGATCAACACCTGAGTGACCTCACCCTTGCTGCGCAAGGGGAAGACTGTGGTGTAACGCGAGTAGTCGTCAACCACTAGCAGGAAGTAGCGCTCCTGACCCTGTCCACGGACGCGGGCTGGGCCCCACACGTCCAAGTGAAGCGTCTGCAACGGGGCCTCTGTCGGAGGAAACTGGGAGGAGTGAGGGGCAGCACGCTGGCGCCCCTCGACACAGGGGACACAGGCAGGGCCAGGGCCCGGAGGAAGGGGAGGGAGGGACCGGGGAAGACCAGACACAAGGACCCGCGAGGCCATGCCTCTGAGCCGAAGCAGAGAGGGGTGGCCAAGGCGGTGGTGCCAGAGGAGGGTCTCGTGAGACAGACGACGACACGAACAAGGGGCAGACTCAGGACCAGACCTGGACGCTGCAGCAAACACCTGACCAGACGAAGGGGCCCTACCAGACGCAGTACCTGGAGGAGAAGCAGTGGTCAGTGTGTACAGGCTCGACCCCGGCCGACGTGTAAACGTAGCCAGGTGGCGACCTGTATCCGCCTCCGTACAGTGGGTCACCCGCTGACGAGCAGGGGTGAACTGGTGGACACCTGCATCCTGGAGGTCAGCACCACTCACCAAGTTCGTCGAGAACGAGGGGAGGTAGAGACCAGTCAGGGTGCCAGAGGGGGCCGCCGGACACGGGAGGACAGTGGAGAAGCGAGACAGGACAGGCCCCCCAGAGGGGTCCGCCAGGGACACCGCAACAGGCCGACTCAGCGGCGTGAGAGTGGTGCGGTCCCTAAAGAAGGAGCGAGACGCTCCAGAGTCAAGGGTGAAGGTGTGAGAGGCCGAAGCCGACACAGTACCTGAGAGGGCGGACTCACCAGTACCTGAAAGCACAGACGCACTGGCACCTAGAGCAGCAGCCTCACTAGTACCTGACGCGGCAGTACCAATGCCCGGGTCGGGCGGGAAACACCGGTAACAGTCATCCTCATCACTACCAGTCACAGCATACATAGCAGAGAGAATAGCATCAAAATCAAGATCATAAATAGCTACACCAGCCCTAGACAGCTCTCCCCAGCGGGGGATCTCAGCGGCCTCCGGAAACTGCTGACGCCAGGCGTCGGTCAGGCGGCCAAAGCAGCGACGGGCTGTGTGGGCGCCTCCACACCTCTCCCCTGCACGGTCACCAGTGCGAAGAACGTAGGGGCAGGGACCAAGCGCACCACCGCGCTGACGCTGCAAGTACCACTCACGGAGCTGCTGAGGGCCGGGGACGGTGCGAGAGCGCTGCTGCTGCTGCGGCTGCTGCTGTGGCTGCTGCTGCTGCTGCTGCTGGCGCTGACCACCCCCAGAGCTGCTCCGCTGGGACGAGCCACTCCGACCCCCTCCTCCACCGCCACCCCCGCCTCCACCGCCACCCCCGTCGCCACCGCCACCTCCCCCACCAGGACCGTCGCTCCCACCGCTCCCACCGCCTCCTCCGCTACCACCTCCGCCGCCACCTCCGCCTCCACCGCCGCCACTACTACCTCCACTCCCGCCACCACCCCCCCCGCCACCCCCACTCCCCCCTCCACCCCCACCGCCTCCTCCACCGCCCCCTCTGGCTCCACCCGCTCCCTTGCCCCCCTTGCCCTTGCCAGTGCGGCGTCTGCCACTGGGGGCAGACGCCGCGCCGACCGACTCAAAACCAACGAGGTCGGCCGCAGCGGCAGAGGCGACAGAGGGCAGCAGGGGGGAGGGACCACACCCCTCAAAGATGGGGGTGCGAGGGTCACCCCGAGAGGCCCCTACAGCGACAATACTCTTCTCAGCCGCTAGCAGGGACTCCTCAAGGAGGTCGACAGTGAGAGTGGTGGGACAGACAGAGAGAAACTGGTCCCTAACGACACGAAGGGACTCAGGAAGACGGGTGACGAGAAAGTAGAGAGTGATGTACATGGGAGGAGGGTTCGCAGCGCGGAACTCAGCAGGAAGGGCAGCGCGGTAGCGGGTGTCACTAGCGCGGAGGTGGGTAACGAGGTCAGCGACAGTGGGAAAGGAAGCGAGGTCAGGGAAGAGAAACGGTAGCATGAGGCGGCTAAGGGTAGCGGAGGAAGGGGAGGAGTAGCGCGCAACTACAGCGTCGTACAAGGCCTGAGCGGTCTTGCACTGACTAAAGTGGGCACGCTCAGAGGAAGGGAGGTGGCGACGCACAGCAAGACGTGCAGCAGCATCGCGGGTCGCCCACTTGGAGCGAACGGCAGAGTCAGCATCAGCAGGCGGGGCAGGGACAGCGCCAGAGACAAAGTCAAAGAGAGAGACCTCATCTACCGCATCACACAGTAAGTACAGCTGCAGATCCTCGATCCAGACGGCAAAGTCAATGGCCCTCCCCTCAGCGTCAAAAGTGAGAACATTGGGGGTGGCCAT